ATGGAGACTGCTTCATACAGGGCTGGGGGGGATATGGAGACTGTTTCATACAGGGACTGGGGGGACATGGAGACTGCTTCACACAGGGACTGGGATGACATGGAGACTGCTTCATACAGGGACTGGGGGGTGCATGGAGAGAGCTTCATACAGGGGCTGGGGGGTAGACATGGAGACTGCTTCACAGAGGGGTACACAGTGCCCCAGACCAGGATGGCAGAATAGTAAATACCATCTGTCCCATAGCCATGCATGTTGAGGCAGCTATTAACACGTGATCACATTCTGGCTCTGTTACTCCAGGAATCCCAGATATGTGGGGGTACCAGCCAGACTGGCCTTACCCAACCCTCCGGCACCCTGATGGGTATAATGTATTCACCCCTTTACAAATAATCTTAGTATTTCAGCAAATAATGCCAATAAAGAGCCCTCCCTCCCCTCCCTGGGTGTAATCAAAGAATAATGGAATTTTATTCCTGAAAAACATATTAGGGAGATTTATCGAGGCAAAACAGATGCTATTTATAAAGTGCCAAATATTGAGAGACATTCTGTTGGTTTCCATGACAACTGCCCTTAGTTTAGCACTTTGTCTCCAGCTGTTGCTTTGATTGTTATCGCAGAACGTAAAGCAGGGCACGGGACCCCATTTTACAACATCCGCCAAGCAGCTATTTACCAATACAAGCTTTTATACATAGTAAATACATATAACATATCATTTACTTCCATTATCAATGTATATATTAAATACAATCTATTCACGCTAATTATATTATAGAAATTATATTTACACTATGCACAATGCCTTGCAAAAATATTCATCCCCTTGGTTTTTTTTACCTATTTTGTTACATTACAGCCTTAAGTTCAATGCTTTATTAATCTGAATTTTATGTGATGGATCAGAACACAATAGTCTAAGTTGGTGAAGTGAAATGAGAAAAATATATACATAAAACTATTTAAAAAAAAAAAAGAAAAATTGGCATGTGCGTATGTTTTCACCCCCTTTGTTATGAAGCCCATAAAAAGCTCTGGTGCAACCAATTACCTTCAGAAGTCACATAATTAGTGAAATGATGTCCACCTGTGTGCAATCTTGTCACATGATCTGTCACTTGTCACATGATCTGTCGTTACATATACACACCTTTTTTGAAAGACCCCAGAGGCTGCAACACCTAAGCAAGAGGCACCACTAACCAAACACTGCCATGAAGACCAAGGAACTCTCCAAACAAGTAAGGGACAATGTTGTTAAGAAGTACAAGTCAGGGTTAGGTTATAAAAAAAATATCCAAATCTTTGATGATCCCCAGGAGCACCATCAAGTCTATCATAACCAAATGGAAAGAACATGGCACAACAGCAAACCTGCCAAGAGACGGCCGCCCACCAAAACACACGGACCATGCAAGGAGGGCATTCATCAGAGAGGCAGCACAGAGACCTAAGGTAAACCTGGTGGAGCTGCAGAGTTCCACAGCATCAGTATATAGGATGACAATAAGCCGTACGCTCCACAGAGTTGGGCTTTATGGCAGAGTGGCCAGAAGAAAGCCATTACTTTCAGCAAAAAACAAAATTGCATGTTTTGAGTTTTCGAAAAGGCATGTGGGAGACTCCCAAAATGTATGGAGGAAAGTGCTCTGGTCTGATGAGACTAAAACTGAACTTTTCGGCCATCAAAGAAAACGCTATGTCTGGCGAAAACCCAACACATCACATCACCCAAAGAACACCATCCCCAAAGTGAAACATGGCGGTGGCAGCATCATGCTGTGGGGATGTTTTTCAGCAGCCGGGACTGGGAAACTGGTCAGAGTTGAGGGAATGATGGATGGTGCTAAATACAGGGATATTCTTGAGCAAAACCTGTACCACTCTGTGCGGGATTTGAGGCTAGGATGGAGGTTCACCTTCCAGCAGGACAATGACCCCAAACACAATGCTAAAGCAACACTTGAGTGGTTTAAGGGGAAACATGTAAATGTGTTGGAATGGCCTAGTCAAAGCCCAGACCTCAATCCAATAGAAAATCTGTGGCAAGACTTAAAGATTGCTTCTCACAACTTGAAGGAGTTTTGCAAGGAGGAATGGGTAAGATGGGTAAGAATCCCAGTGGTAAGATGTGGCAAGCTCATAGAGACTTATCCAAAACGACTTGGAGCTGTGATTGGCTTTAGGGGGTGAATAGTTATGCACATTGACCTTTTCTGTTATTTTTTCCTATTTTTTGTTTGCTTCACAAAAAAAAAAAATACATCTTCAAAGTTGTGTAAATTAATTGATGCAAATCCTCAAACAATCCATGTTAATTCCAGGTTGTGAGAAAAAACTGAAAATAATCCCTCCCTTAGGCTGGGACTATAGAGTGTGTCCTGAAAGTATCCAGACAGGGGGGAACCCTAAATATTGCCACCTATAGGCTGAATATGAGAAGCTATAGAGACTATATTGGAGACTAGTTATATCTCCAAATGCCCCTAATGTAAAGCCACTAAGTATAGAGTCCTACAGCTGGTAGCTCAAATATGCATCAAACAGACATACAGCTGAACACTCAGACCTAGCAAATCTCCTGGCATAAAATATTGAGCAGCTAATGTCAAGTGATAGTACACACTACACTTATGTCCATATTGTACTAAGAACTATCCATTGCTAATCCTGTGTATAGGAGGCTAAGAGATACTGAATAAGTAGGAGACAAAATCCATGTCTAAATATTGCTTAAGTCCGGCTTCTGTTCCCCATAAATTAAATAAACACCCTAAACAGTGTTAAAATAAAAGTGCTGTGAATTTTTAAAAAGCCATAAGCCTAACGCGTTTCGGCACTTAAACGCGTGCCTTTCTCAAAGGCTATCAAAACACCAAAAATGCCAAGGGGGTAAATACTTTTGCAAGGCACTGAACATTACACTCATCAGCCACAACATTAAACCCACTGCCTGGTGAAGTGAATAACATTGATTACATATCGTTACAATGGCCCCTGTCACAGGGTGGGATATATTATGCAGCAAGTGAACAGTCGGTTCTTGAATTTCACATGTTGGAAGCAGGAAAAATGGGCAAGCATTAAGACCTGAGTGACTTTGACAAGGGCCAAATAGTGATGGCCAGACGACTGGCTCAAAGCATCTTCAAAACGGCAAGTCTTGTGGGGTGTTCCCGGTATGCAATGGTTGGTACCTACCAAAAGTGGGGCAAGGAAGGACAACCGGTGAACCGGCATCAGGATCATGGGTACCAAAGGCTCACTGATGCATGAGGCTAGCCCCGTTGTTCCGATCAGATAGAAGAGTTACTGTAGCTCAAATTGCTGAAAAACGTAATGTTGGCCATGATAGAAAGGAGTCAGAAAACACAGTACATTGCTTAGCGTAGCTACAGACCGGTCAGAGTGCCCATGATGACCCCTATCAACTGCTGAAATATAGGGGTTATTGCTCAGAACTGGACCGTGGAGCAATGGAAGAAGGCTGTCTGGTCTGATGAATCTTGTTTTCTTTTAGATCACATGGATTGTGGGTGCGCGTTGTTTATATGGGAAAGATATGGCTGCAGGATGCATTATGCGAAAATGGCAGGCCGGCAGAATATGCTCTGGGCAACATTGGGTACTGGCATTCATGTGGATGTTAACAAAGAGTAAACTAGAAAAAAAGGTAGTGCCAATTAAATAATATCTCTGGAAATATGAAGGTGTTTAATAAAATAAATAAAATAAAAAGTCTTTAGTTAAAAGTCCAACCAAAAGGAAATAGAATACCACTTGTAGGGGAACAGCAGGATCTTAATAGATGTAAATATGTTATATGGGGTTCTGGGTCAGGTATGGCTCAGAGTCCAAGCGTTCATATTGAGAAAAGACAAACGAAAGTTCCATGTTCGGAAATTAAAACTGTTCAATAAACATTTACCGGAGCTAATAGAAACATAGAATGTGACGGCAGATAAGAACCATTCGGCCCATCTAGTCTGCCCAATTTTCTAAATACTTTCATTAGTCCCTGGCCTTATCTTATAGTTAGGATAGCCTTATGCCTATCCCATGCATGCTTAAACTCCTTTACTGTGTTAACCTCTACCACTTCAGCTGGAAGGCTATTCCATGCATCCACTACCCTCTCAGTAAAGTAATACTTCCTGATATTATTTTTAAACCTTTGTCCCTCTAATTTAAGACTATGTCCTCTTGTTGTGGTAGTTTTTCTTCTTTTAAATATAGTCTCCTCCTTTACTGTGTTGATTCCCTTTATATATTTAAATGTTTCTATCATATCCCCCCTGTCTCGTCTTTCCTCCAAGCTATACATGT